TGCTTCCATTGCCTGAATTTAAACTAGCAATTCCAAGCAGGTGGTTTTGGAAGAAAACAACAAAGAAAGTAAACTGTGGGAAGGTACAGGATCGGGGAGGAAAAAAAAAAAAGTACATCTGCGCTTTCAATCAATTGTTTTATGCTTACACCAGAAAACGGAGAACTTCAGGCAACAGTAGACAGCCAAAAAATCCCCAGAAGATAAACTACTGCTGTCATAGTAATTAGAGATTTATAGGCTCATGACCCTAGAAAGTTAGTGAAAGTAGTTTCATAACATCAAGTCGATAGTTAATCTAACCATGCCCTCTACTGGCCTGAAAGGTACTTGTGTAAAGGTGCAAACTTTAAAGATGCTACTGCTCATGCCGTCACAGGCTTCACTTTCATTAAGAAATAACAGCAGGAAGCATTCAGACATTTCTCTACAGGCTACCTTCCAAAATACAAAGTATATTAAAACACACTTCTGTCACAGTTATATTATTACTTTATTAATGTTTTAGACTCGCGTGCTCTGAAGTGTTGCCAAGATTAACATACTCTATTTACATTGAATTGCCATGGTTTGGGGCACCAAAAGCAATTAGATTTCTAACAATAAAGCTGGCTTTTGAAAAGACTGCTTCCAATCAGGGGTGGTAACACTGCTTTAGAAAAGAAAGCTATCTTTCTTTCTGCTTAGAAGGCAAAACAGACAGGTTATTATTTCCATTTTTTAATAATTTTACATTGCAAGAACAACTTTTATTTTAGATTGTTTTACCAAATTTAACACATCCATAGTTTCGCTCATCAGTAAAATGGGGCTCTGGGATAGTAAACAAACATTTGAGCATATGGTGTGACAGTTCAAGACAAAAAGTCAAATTCGGATATATTGAAGTCAGAGGTGCATATAGTTTTGTACAATCCAAATTTAAATTGCTGCTTACCAAGAACATCCATCAGCACTTTTTGCATACCTTAGCCTTTTCCTTCTACATCTGTTCTTCAAGTAGCAGCCAAGACTTAACTTACTCAATATATTAAAGAACACTTGCAAAGAAAAAAAAGGTACTTTTTTCCTCCATTTAATCTTTAAGACAAAGATGTAGAAAAAGCTTGGGAAAGAAGATGAAGGAGGAACTACCCAGAGTTCAAAGTATTCAGACTTTGACGGTGTGATAGGTTATGCTGACTACAGAACCAGTGAAGTTATTATAACTTAAGAGAATAAAAGATAAGCAACTGAGAGGAGTACATTTTATTCATGCTATAGATCTGGGGTTTTCTCTTCTATGAGCACCACTGCTTTAATAGACATCAAGAGAAAAAGGCAAAAACTCTGTCCAAGATTCAAGAACATTGCTGCTTCAAAGATGCAAAGTCAGCACATATTTCACAGGGCCCCATGGCAAAACTGGGGAAAGAGGAAAGGAAAGAACAAAAAAAAAATTTCTAAGATAAGAAAAGTCATACAAAAGCCAAACTAAATGAAACTCAATTCTTCACTACAAATTAGACAGCAAAAGAGTTAAAAAAAAACCAAACACGCCCAACACACCTCAATTTTAATAAGAGAATTTAAGAATATTTTCTCCTACATGAAATTAGAATTCAAATTAAGTTTTAAAGTTCCCTCCTCTCCTTTGGTTTTAGAAGTATGGTGATACAAAGGGTGTTGTTCTTGCCTCTTTACTTAGTAAGATTTACTTGAAGCCCTAAATTTTAGAACCAAGTTTTAAAACAATTGTACCTGCTATGTTAAATACATGTTAAATACAGTAAAGCACGCTTTCCACCAAAAAGGACACTTTCTGTGCACTCTTATCAAAACTATGTTCCTGTGTAAACCCGCTGCAGAAGACTATTATTTGAATCCAGAGGTGGCATTAACCCTACATCTGGGAAAGCATACACATAAAATATTTTTATTACCCATTGTTAAAATAAAAGTAAGACTCATTGGACTGACTAAATTAACAAACAAAGAACTGAAGCCAAATTCACTAAGGCTAGAAGGAAAATAACGTAAGTATTGAGCAATTAACCCTTGAAACAAAGTGGGAACACTCCTTAGATCATGACAGGACACCTTTCTGGGATGCAAGACCTGCCACACTAGTTCAGATGAAGAAATCCATGTGACCTGACATACCTCCTCCAGCAGTAGTCACTTAGGCCTGTCAGAAAGGTAAAGTTGCTCAGAATATTATTCCAGTATTGGCAGTCAGCTGTTCAATGACTTAAGGCAGAACCTGTATCCAGACCATAGCGCTTATGGCCATTGTGACATTAATGTAGGAAATAATGAAAACCTAACATTAATACAGATTACAAGAAGTGACTTAGTAGAAATCTAAATCCTTAAGTTAAGATCTAAAACACTGACCTGTCTAATACAAAAAAATCCACATTCCAAAATAATGGAACTGACTGTAGGTACAGTGAAGGATTAGGCTGCAAGTTCATAATAGGGTCTTATACTTCAAAGCATCTCCTCAAATTCTGAATACATTGGAACTGTTAAACACACACAAGCAAGGATGCTATTCCCAGAAGATCATTATTTAATACAGTATTTTTAAGTTTGATGATTGGTCCGCAAAGCATCTTGTTTTACATTACCTTGACTGTTTTGTCCATAGAAGCCGAGAGAAGCATGTGACTTTGTTCTCGTACAGGACACCACTGGATTTCATTAACAGGGCCGCTGTGTTTAGACATGGGAAATATTAAGCTTTTGGGGACTTCAGTTAATTTATATTTGGATCCCAAATATGGCTTAATTAATTCAGAGACCTTTCTCAAAGTCTGCTCTCCTGATATGCCTACCTTAACACCACAATCTGAGCTATCTCTCTGATCAGATTCTTTTTTTTCAGGCATACTAGAATTGTCTTGACGCAATCTTTTAGGGATATACGGTCTAATTCCTTTTATGGCAGTAGTACTGTCTTTATGTATTCTCTTCTGGGAAACGCCATTTCCAGAGTTTGTTGAAGAGCTTGATGTCTGTTCATAGTTTTTGTAGGACATACATAATGCAGTATGGCCAGAGTATGCTCTCCTACAAGGAGATGTCAAATCAGTGTTATTATTCTGTGCATAATGCTCAGGGGGATCTTCACAAACAGTGCCTCTGCCAGAACTGTCAGTGTTCTCAGGAGGCTGCATTTCATATGTAGATTTTGTACCCAAACTACCAGGTGCAAAGTACTGAACACAATCCACAGAAGAACTTGGAAGGCTTTTTTGTCTGCTGGAAGTATTGGGGACTTCAGCCTTTTCAGCTTCTGCCTCACAGTCTGAATCATCATAAGCAACCAGTGATGAACTCATTATGTCTAGACACAGCAGACTCCAGAAGTCTCAGTGCTGGAATCCTCCAAAATGATGATCTACAATAAAGAATTGATTATTCAGAGCACAATTTATTACAGAGTCTACAATCTGAGTAACTTAAGGATATAAATATGCTTTTCTTAAAAAAAAAAATCTGTAACTTTTATTCTTGTTTATTAATAGAATTTATTCCTCTATTATAACACATCTGTATATTCAATTATGCAACACCATTTGCCTCCAAACACTTTGCATACATTTTTAATGCATTGCAGAGATGCATTTGCATACCACAAAACAATGAAAATGAGCATGAAAAGGAAAACAAACTTGCGACATAAGTATTGCAAATCACTTTAACCTTACTTGCAGTAGCACTTGCACACACACACGAGGGTAATTAATTATGCAGTGTTTTGGTACGTACATTTGTAAGAATACAAATACTACAACTATTTTGGAGTCAGTCCAACAATACCTATTTCTTAACAGTACAGATGACTTGAAATAACTATGAAGGGGTTAAACTGGCAACTAAAAAAGTAAATAAATTTTTGACCCACTCAGCAGTCTTGCAGTATGAGGAAATTTTCCAGCTATATCCACAGAGCAAGTTCCACACAGCCTTTAGTTTTACAGAACAGGTTTATGCCAGAAGCTACGCTGAATTCACTGTTCGCATTTACTTACAAGAAAGTAAGTAAAAAGAAAAATAAGAGCACTTGTTTACTGTGGAACACTTTTTCAAAGTGTCTGTGAGAAAGGAATCTCATGCTGAGACTGCATATGTAACACGCTGAATAACTCACCACCATAACAATCCCACCAAGCTTCTTCCAAAATTTGGACAGAGCATGTGGAGTATAGGGTTAACTACATTCAAACAATCGATGAGTCTGCAAAAATAATCTTTCAACCTCTGCTGTTTCCAGTGAAAAAGTACTGCTATCCTTCAATTGCTAAGATTGATTAAATGGGACATTTTATTTCTGCTTTGTTTCCTTGACCAGCTGTTAGCATTCATCACGCTAAAGTGATTTAACCCACAACACTTTCAGATCAGCTGCTGAAATTCTTGGTTTAGGTCAGTGAAGAAGCTGCCCTCAAAACCGTCTTGATTAAACTGAGAATGCTGTATGAAAGTCGGTATCTAGGTAAACATTTGCAGAATTGATGCCACAAACGTAGGTCCTACAACTACTACTGCAGAAGTACTACACTGGAACTTGTAAAGATTACTCATTTAACTTCAGAATTAGATCTATCTGAATTAAAACAAGCACGTTTCTTTTAACCTACAGAAGTGTTATATTACAGGCTATGGTCTGTATTCTGTAACAAAATTTCCAAGCACAGATCTGGAAGACAGGTTCCTGTTAAGAGATACATATTCATCATCACAGACCCTTTCCAAGATAAGTGATCAAGACATTTAACTGGAACAAGGTGACTAACATTTTAGCACATAAAAGCATCAAGATCTCCCTCTAGAGGACATTTTGTCTTTATCTGAAGTTTATGACAGCTATAAGTGACAGCAACTAAGAGCAAGGAAAAATTCTTTTTTTAACAATACAGCTTCATTTATTAAAACAGCATTTCACTTAAACAGCGTCAAGGAAAGAAATTAAGTGGTGTTTCAGGAAAACTTAACTAACAGTTCCATTCAAAAACAGTAAATTGACGTTTTTAGCAGTAAACTGAAACCTCTTATCAAATAAATAGTAACTGTAAAGGGCTGCGCTTCAGTAATTGCAACAAGTGGTCACTATTTGTATTGCAGTGCTGAAAACAGGCCCCAGCCAAAATGCATCATGTTCGAAGAACAAATACAGTAAGACGTTGACCTCTGGCTGAAAGCTATAAATGAAGATATACGCAAGTGGATTGGGTTAGACTTTCAAAGTGACTTTACTTTCTTCTAGCACAAAAAAAAATTGAAGCTGAGATTCAGAGGTAAGTGCAACACAGTGCCTTGCACACACCAGGCTAAAAAAGTTTCCTATGGGATATTGGAAGGAAACTGTCCCGTTACATTTGGTCAGCATAAATCCATCCCATCACACACGTCACCCATAAGTCTTAGTATTTTTGTAAAAACAAAGCATCTCTGCCGTCGTAAGACTTCCCATTCAACCTCCGCTTTTAAAGAAACCCCGCCCCAAAGTTTCTAATGCTGCCCTGACTACAGAAAAATGCAGGGAAAAACCCCCACAATGTGCTTCACTGGAAACACGCAGTAACTAGACTGCGAACTGGTTAACGATGTGATTGACAACGTACTAGGCACGAGGCTGGTACCAGGCATTCCCTCTTAAGGGAAACTTACGGAACTTTTGTTTCTCTTCCGTTTCCACACGACTGATTTACCTGTACCCGTTAAACCGAGGAGCATTAGATCTGACACGCGCACCACCACACGCCCGCTAAGCGACCGTGACCGTCAACAGCGGTACGACACAGACGCCCAGAGCCGCCTCCGCAGGACCCTGGCACCGAGGCCGCTTCCTTCCCCCCCTCCCCCGGCGGCACCGGAGCCGTTGCCGCT